CCGACCTCCCCCCTTCGCCCATCCCCTTATTAATGCGAGCCCGCCATGTCGAAAAACAAAGGTGCTCCTGTTCATCCCTGTAAGGGAATGGTGTGCGCTCTACAATGGATAAACAATAGGCAATATAAGATTTACAGTTATACAGCTATCACAAAAARGTTGTTGAAAATTTGTTGCATGTTTCCTGATAACCTTGAAATGTATTCATGCGTAATTTATGTTAACACAGAATAGATTATGCCTGAAAGACGTGCAGACAAAGTTTGGGAAAATCCCATGATGTTATGAACTTTCGTTGATTGCTTTCACATCGTCCATTCGCGCATTAATTTCGGGCATGGTATATGCCTAACGCAGAATTAAAATTATTTTACAACCACCACTCCCGATACGGGGCTCTTCCGTGAGGTTCCCCCCACACGCACTACTGCACTACATTCTATATTTACAGCATGCAACACTCAACTCACATGTTGCTTTTTACGGAGGGAGGAAACCGGAGATCCTGGAGAAAACCCTCGTGGCAAGGGAGAGAACAACACAACAAATAAACTCAACTCACATATGGGCTCGAACCCGGACTACAGTGGTGTGAGGCGAGCAGTAAACCACTACGTCACCCATGCCACCGAAATAATTAAATTAAACGAAAAACGTCAGCAAGCGTTTTTAAAATAGCTGTATAGAATTCACGCTACGTCATATAGCCGCCATCTTGGCTGACAATAACAAAGCTTTCCTTCAGCTTCTGTTGTTAGATCAACCAACATGGCGGTTATTTCATCGTTATTTATATCTCAAGGAATTTTGAGTAACATTGTTGCACACACTGTATACGAGTGATTGACAGTTTTCTTTATTATCAAACAGTGCCGCTTCGTTGTTTCAGTCTCATTGTCTCGTCTCTCCTGCTTCGGCTTGTCTCATTGTAGGATCTTGATTCCCTTTGAGGTCTATCAAAGATTTTAAACACAGATGACAATAGTAACGTATACTTGTGACGAAACCTTCTCGTCAGAGCACCGTAAACCAACGGATTCATGCAGCTATGGACATCGGTAAGGAGCTCAGCGTAATGGTGTAATTTCACCAGGTTCATGATGCCAATGCTTTCAAGGTGAAAGACGTACAGCATCCAAAAGACTTGCAATGGCAGAGTTACTACAGCAAATATAATGACAATCACTGCAATCGTTCGTGTAATCTCAATATTTTCTTTTTTGATTTCCTGCCTTACGATGTTTTTCTGGTACTTTTTCAGGTTTAGACAAATTTGTACGTATGCCAGAAGAATGACAATTAATGGTAGAATGTACTGAATGAAGAAAATAGAAATTATGTAGATTGCTTCTTCTTTTTTTGACCAATTAAGAAAGCACATCCCGTTTTTGACTGTAGAAATTATACTAACTGGCAGAATAAGTAGAGCAGCGATTACCCAGATAATTCCACACCAAATTGAAGTCGTTCTTTGAGTAATGATCCCCTTCCATGGATTTAAAATTGCACTCCTTCGCTGTATAGACATAGAAGTGATAGTGAAAATACTAGCACAGTATGGGACTGTCATCATTGGATAAAGTATCTTACACACAAAACAGTTGACGTGGATAAACGGTGCAATAAGTTGAAGAAGCTTTATTGGTATTGATACAGAGACAGTTAACAGGTCTGCAGCCGCTAAGTTGACCAGGAAGATATCGTTCGACGTTCGACGTTCTCGTTTGGTGAAGATGACGAGGAAAACCAAGATGTTTCCAACAACTCCCAGTACGAAGGTCAGAATGTACACCACAAGAGTCAAAAGTATTTCCGCTTTGGAGATTACTGATGGAGGCATGAATTCCGTCGTGTTATTCATTCTTTTAATATTCTGTAGACTCGACTGCCTTAAAGAGTCATTTATGTGAGTCAGTTTGAATGTAAAATTCGATGGCTTTCTAACTTAGTCGTGGAGTCAGATTTAAGAATAGATGCTTGCGTTCGGCTTCAAGGTCCAATTCTACTATACAACTTCAAAAATATAACCACCGCCTTTACGACCAAATGTCCCAAATGCAAAGCCAATTCTAGTGAATATCTAGTCCCATTTGCTGTTTCTTCGTTCTCACAACTCTTGCGATCCCCAAAATTTCTTATTGTCACAATGATTCGAGTCAACAATTTCGAGTTTGAATCCTTCGTTCTGGATAACACGATGTTCGTACTTGATCTGAGGCCAAATTTGTAGTGAATTTGCGTGTTTACCTCTTAATAGAAAGGGCATGCAAAATCAGCAGGAAGCCAGTCCGTCACCCTTAGGTCTTGCAGCGTCTGGCACTCTCAATTAATCCCCTATAAAAATATACCATCATTATCAGAACGCTTAACCCATAGATTATTGATTCCCTAAGCTATTACATACGATAACATCTATCTCATTATTTACAAATTTGTCAAATTCTTTTCAAACTGAATTGGAAACAAGACAAATAGTGCCTTTAAATTTGAATCGGTGTACTTGCGTTTCTACGACTTTTCAACATCAATTATAGAAATTAATGTGTTCCGGGCCTTGAGGCTAAAAAATATAACTGCGACAAATGTCGATTGATCGATAATGATGAGAACTGAAGTCCAAAGGAGTTCAGTTGCAGCAGTTTGTAATTGAAAACGCTATCCGGCAAGAAAAACGGTTGATTGGGTGTAAACATTCATAAATCAGCTTTTATACAAAAGGTTTAATTTATCGCCTAAATAAGTACAAAGATGAGGCGAGAATCACGGAAGCGGTTTATTTTTTAAAATATATTTTTTGAATTAAAAATAAGGGAGTGACAGGTGAGGAATTTTTTAGCAGTTCTCTGTTTGCTCCTATAAATCAGCCGGCTTTTTTTGTCTATGGTTCTTTTTAATATCAAGACAAGATTGCATCCAAAATAAACACATTTTCACCAATGTCCTTCTGCCAGAGTTGAGTTGAGGAATCGGGACGTGAGCGCGCGCGACCGTTCCCGCCAATTTCACAGGAACTCCACATGGAGACACCGGAATCTAAATATTGACAAGCACAGTACTTCAATTTTTTGTTTTTTTTGCCAAACAAATTGATACAAATTTCCGTCCAGACTGAAAGCCTGGCTAAGTGACAAGCCAACTGACGCTTCTCTAACTATTAAAAACATATGTTTTCCTTCATATTATTTACTTGAAAACCTTTAATTTATGGCATACTTCTATGCACGGCCTTTGCGCTGCTAAACGAGTTTATACGCCTTATTTGGTTAAGCCAGCCGGTTTCAGCTTCCATCAAAATATGTAGGTTCAAGGTACAAAACCCTTTGCAAAGAACTTTAGTAGTATAAGAATATTTTAAACAAATGTTGCGCACTAAGAAATAAAAATTTAAAATCGGGAGAAGAAGACTATTAACTCAAAAAGAAAGAAGATAACATTATTTAAAATACATTCTGCATTGGCATTGCTTTCAATAGGTCACTTGCATTATAGGGTAATTTACCACTACTACCAGACTCCCTTGTATACTTTCTTTTGTTTTAATTAACACCAACTGTCTTACTGTTTTCACTATATCACTGACCGATGAAATACACACTACCATTCCATCCGATATCACTGACTGATTGATAAGAACAATAAGTCATTAGTATAAGTAAGATAAAAGAGACACACGTGAAATACAGTTCCTTTGTTTAATCGTTTAAGTGTAATTTCCTTTTTTGGTAATAATCTAGTTTTCAATATACTCAAGAGAATATACAAAACAAATATTTAAGCAAATACAAAAAAATATCATAGCAGTAAGTCAAGCAGTTAACATCAAAAGACTGAACTGAGAACATCAAGAACCGGATTAATTTTGAAATAGTAAGAGCAGAAAGAGAATTGTAAGTACGTTTTCGTTTAAATATTCGTTAGAACAAGAATCAGAAATACCAAGATAATAACTTATATTTATATCTATTTTGTAGTTTGACTTAATAACAAATTGCGGAAATTAAAAGCTACATAAGTCAGCGTGTCCTTATCGGCACAGAAAATCCGATACACTGATGAAATACACTCTACCATAGCAGCCATGGTTTATAACACTACCATTCTATACCATATCACTGACTGATGAAATACACACTACCATTCTATACTATATCACTGACTGATGAAATACACACTATCATTCCATACCACACCATTTTATTTAGCTTTAACTGAAACAATTTCAACGTGGCTATTAAGATAGCTCGTAAATTGAGTCTAATTTGGTTTGAAAGAGAGCGGACAGGTTTCAAAGTTATGACCTAGCCTTACTAGAGTAGCAAAAGCTCAATTCCTAAATGGCACTGGCCAAGGCTTTGAATGAACTGGAGCATTTACCAAAATGCACTAACAACATTCAAACATATAGATAGCTACTCAGTGAAGGCTATAGTCATTTAGGGTCAAAGCTATTCGTTCTAATTAAAGATAATGTACTTACTTAGAGCCTCAAAGAATGAGTAATCAACGTTAGTGGGAACGATTTTATGACCAACTTCTCCCGTTACATTCTCTTTTCTTGTCGGTAATCTAAATATAGACTTGACTCGAACATTAATGATTCATGTCCATATGATGAAGGTYGAACTCGCCAATTTTAGGTCCAAATAACGTGCAGCTCTAAATAATGGTTTATTATTTTGGTAGGAATGAACAAAAGAGGGCCCAATGCTAATTCTGTGGTATACCGCAATTAATCTTACAATTGTGTAATTGATTATGTTTGACATATGAAATACGTTTTCTATTTTACCGATAAGGCTTTACCAATCAATTTTGTCTTTTATAAATACCGAAGAAATAAAACAATAAAAATAAGTTACCTCCGTAAAATACGTGCCCCTGTTCGTTTCGACTTTTCTGTTTAATATCTTCGCATTCAAGACAATTTTAAAGGTGTACTTTACTTAACTGTTTTGCTTTATTTACTGGCCTCCACAGTCAGATATAAAAGTAAATTAAAGTATATTTCTTGGGATTTCTTTATCATATGCATCATTTAGCGTACGCATACCTTCTATGCGGTTTAAATGAACCACATTAAAGATTCATGCGCTCTAATTATTGTCACCAGCAAAGTTGAAGTACAACAGAGTATACACAGGTGTCGTTCAATGCTCTCATTATATAAACAGGTTTCCTGTGAAAACAAATTTGCTCCCAGCAAGATGATAGATACAAATGCGAACGATAGTTTTGAATTGCAGGAAATTTTTTCTAGCCGCAATATCAATCCGAGCTTTAGTCGCCTCACCAAACACCTTAAAGTGACTGGTAGAATGTTTTGATTGTCGAGCCGTCAGGGGTGACAAGATTTATCAGTGAATGTGGCTATATGATCTCTCTCGATGTCCCTTATGGGCTACTAGTAGCCCATAAGGGACATCGAGAGAGATCATCAATTAATAAATAATGATTAATAAACGATATTCATGCTCTCTTGGGGACATACAGCAAGACAAATTGCTAGAAATAAGAAACAAGATATTGATGTTAGGCGAGTTACTGCACCGCTTTATACGAGTTGCTGCAAACTGAATACAAAACAAGTTAATTGCTGTAAAAATAAGAAACTAGCAGATTGTCGATTGTGACCGAGTTCTAGAGTAGCTTAGTTTGATTTTTGAGGATTTCTCAACTAAAGCGAGTTCAAATCGGTTTAAATTTCAAATCGTGTTTTATTTCTGTAGATAAAAGCGATTTTCCTCTGCTGAACAGACTTCAATTTGACATCTTTGCAATTCGTCGGCACCGTTGCGAATACGAACGACTAGCAATCTCTTCGTGGCACTTATTACCGACTTCTGCTTGGGTGCGGTTATTTTTTCATTTTTTATTGAGATGCAAACGATTGAAAGTTACAAAAAAATAAAAAAAGATAAATAATAAATATTAATGATAAAAAGGAAAAAGGAAATCTCACAAAAGTTGGGAGGATTATGTTTTAGGTCACCCATCCAGGTACCGACTTTGCCAAACCGGACTTGACTTTGACTTAGTGTAATATCGCTACCAAAGTTTTTCCCACTGGACCAAGATTCCAGGTGAATCAGCATAACAATAGCCGTGAAAACAATGCACCGAATAGACTAGACTTTTTAACATCTTATTTTCAACCGATTCCGTGCGTGGCAGAGATGCAAGGGATCAGCCGATATGGTCTGGGGGCCGGCTGGTCTCTCCCCTGATGCTTCGGTTAGAACATTTTCTTGCGTAATTCGTGCACCCAAGGGCAGAAGGATTTAATCGSCGTCAGGTCCGAAGTCCATACGCCGCCTCAGCTCTGCGGATGTCTCGGGGGTATGGCAATGTGGAATCGTTTTTTGTTTTTTTGTTTTTTTTTTAGTTAAAATTTCTTTTCACAGGCTCGAATCCCATCGTATCCAGTTAAAATTCAGTTAAAAAGAGGTTGCTTTTTCTTCGGGTTTTCAGTTTTTTCGCCGGCTAGATTGATGTATTCTTTGCCGCTCTAAGTGTGACTCCCCCCACCCCATCCCCCTACACCAAAATGAAGTTGCAGGAGTGGAAGCGAGCCGTTAAAAAAAGCTAAATAACTAGTCCTTTCGATCCTTAATCATAGGAGTTTTATCGGCGTTAAACTTGTCTGCAAGAGAGAAAGGGAGAAAGAAAAGAAAGAAAGAAAAAAAGAAAGAAAGAAAAAGAAAAAAGAAAGGAAAAAAATGGAAAAAATAAAAAATAAAGAAATTAAGACAGCTTTGTAAGTGCCAGTCAAACTTCGATCCGTGAAAGCCAAGCACTCATTGTTGCTTTGAGGAGTCGAAGTTCAATTTCGATATCGAAAGCTAAGCGCGCAGTACATGACACTTGTATCCTCCTTACCACTGTTTTCAGAGTACTTCCATAAGAGGTTTCGCAAGTTTCATTAAGTTTAAGTAACGGTCCAACCAAAACAACAACAACAACAAAAAAAAAAAACGAACTTTAACCATACTTCTATTTAACTTTATAGAATTTAATATCAATCAACATAGCTCCAACAACGATTTTTATCGTGAAAAAGAACATCAGTTATGTTGTACGTATAGCTTCATTAATTTGGTTGGGGTTTTTTGTCCATGATTTTACCTTTTTGACAAAAATATTCAGTAAAAATGAATACTAAAGTTTTTTTTAATGACAGTTGAGTTTCGATTAATTCATTAAGATCCTTGGGATTTGGTTGGATAAACTCAAAATTGCTTTTGAGCTCTGACACAATGACAAAATACACGGAATGAGCTAAATAAATCGGCCTTGGACATCGCCTCGAGTCAGATTGGATGAGACAAAATCTCTAATGAAATCACATTTCGAAGGCAGATTTTCCATTAAATACAAGGATATCAACAGAAATTTTTTCCTGGCCAAGAGGGATTGACGGATATGAAGATTGATGAAAACTGTCTGTTAACTGAATAATTAAGATTAAGAGGAAATTTTTTTCAATGATGAGCAATAATGGCAAAAGGCGCCAAAAACTAGACTTTCGTATAAGTTTTGATCCCAATTTTCGTTTTGGGTTAAAACTCAATTTAAACAGTTAGAAACTGATGATGTCCTATGATAAAATGCTTGTTTAAAGCGGTATTTTCAATCGTACAAAGATGTTTTGTTGCATTTGTGTTAGAATGTTGCTTTGTCAGGCTTTTTTATAGAAAATATATGAGAATACAATAATAATAATTGTAAAGTATTACGCATACTGAAAGTTTAAATAAACGAAGCTAATAATAATAATAATAATAATAATAATAATAATATTATTATTATTATTATTATTGATGATGATGATGATGATGATGATGATAGAATACCATACTAGAGCCGGAGATTTAGAGAGAGAGAGAGATCCCTTGATGCACGCGTGAAAAGTGTTATTTGCTTTGGCCTCCTAATCCAAAAAATACTAAAATATATTTAATTTACTTTGTAATCCTTTTATTGTTTTCAAGAGCCGTTGAAAAAATCCTTCAAAATGGAATCTACTTCTTAACATACCTTGCAAAAGGGGGAAGTATTGTGTTATCCGTTTTAGTGCGCGCTATATCTAACTTCGAATATAGCAAAATTAAAAAAAACTAAAAACCATTTTTGAATCGGCCTTTTATTTTCAGAATCAAAAACTATTTTCTGACATTTTTATTTATGATCTTAAGCAAACGATCCGAATCCGCATCATTTATAATTTTAATTTTTGCACAGTATGAGAATTGCCCCGGAGACACTGTTTTAAAGACCAAATCAACTTTCTTCCAGCTGACTCTGCTTTCCCTACGAAACTTCAATTAATAACAAAACAGTGCTGCTTTGAAATTAGAATATTTCTATTCAAGATTTACTTGTAAGATTATTTTTTTTCAGAATTTCGACATTTTAATTACTTTTTTTAAAAAGTCGCGACTCGACGCGTGCAGGCCGGCTTTCTAAACATCTCATTATTTGAAAAACTACCGAATAGAAATTATTAAAAATTTAATAAAAAACGGTCAAAACACTGTGTTTATGAAGTTTTCAATGTTCACTGAGAGAAGCCGCTTTGCTGCCTTTAGTATGACCTTTTGTTCCAATGCCAGCTGAATTTTTTTTTAAACTGGATATTTTTACGGCCTAAAGATTTTCGTACTAACTTTTGTAAGAGATATCTTTATGTAGATGTTTATTTTAGGTTAATTGTTTGTTTTGCAAGTTGATCAAACAGCCAAAACTTATTCTTAAAAACCTTGGCAAATTTGACCGTAGAAAACTCCGAAAAATTTTTCATTGGAAACCATTTGAGTAACTTTATTTGAACTCTTGGCTTTTTTATGATATCTTCAGCGATTTTCCCAGTCTTAATAGGGGTGTTTTATTTGATACACATAAAATATAAATATATATTTAATATATATAATAATATAATAGTTAATATAATGTAATATATATAATAATATAATAGTTAATATAATGTAATATATATAATATATATATGGCCTAAAACTGTTTCAATTTGGGAAACGAATGTAACGCTTATAGCGAAATAATATAAACTTTTTATAATTCTCTGGTAATATATATATCCTTACCTTTCTGTGTCAGACTAAAGTTTTCATTCTTGTGGTGTCTTTCCTGACTAACTTGATGTACTTGTGGTGTCGGTCTAACTAGCTTGACTAACTTGTGCAGTCTGTTGATGTATACAGCTGTCTGTCGACGTCTCTGGGGGAGTATTAATATATACTCAAATAACCATTATACTTTTAGCAGCAGGGATAGTCAACTAATGCCAACTAACGCTAAATGATTCAGATATTCGTAAGCAGGGCTGGATATATTAATGAATACAGCCTAGGGTGTTTACGTGATGCCAACGCATGATGACTATTAAAGGTGCTTATTAATTAAGCTCCTGTTTCTAACCGATGCGTCGTAAATAACAAAAAAATCTCAGCCCGACTCAGCCAGACTAAAAATACTCCGAGAGAAACAAAGAAAATACTCGTAAAAAAAGTGACGAACGACAGCAACAGAGTTGCGCATTGCAGGTCGAGCACACGCTTTTTGGCGCGAAAATGCCCTTTTGAACCACAGGTAGCCCCGATATTTTAAAATTTACGATTTTCAGTCAAACTTTGGGGAGGGGATAGGGGGTTGTTGTTAGATTCACAACTTCATATAGCATAAGCTTTAAATATATATATATATTTAATTGATTTTGTCAAGCCGCTTAGCTCGGAAAAACATGGTATTATGACTGATATTCCGGCGGCTTTTCACGAATAAGTCCTACTTTTGGACCCATAATAATGCAGTAATACAACATGAGATCAACAATCAAAATTAGTTAAAAATGAGAGGAAAGAAAGAGGCAATTATTGGGATTACTATACATTAAACAACGCATAAAACACTTAAAACGCAAGCTATGGCTCCAACTAGCCCGGTGCTGTAGTATGATGAGGCGAAGCATTGATTTATTTGATAAGTAAACTATCTGGATGAATTATTCTCGTCAAGTTTGATGTCTCCATGCTGAAATATGGACAATGTAACATTTCTGTATTTGAACCAACCCGAAGCCAGTATTTGCGATTATAGATATTGCTTGAAAGTATTAGGATTAGTTTGAGTGTTACATAGGATGTACTTAGGATGAACGAGAAGTTTTAAAAGGATCGAGGTGTAAATAAAGATTGGACCCAGAAATAAATCACGTTATATCATGTGAACTCGAGTATTCTTATTGATCTCAGTAAATAAATGGCTCGTGAATCAAACGAGGGAAATCTTGAGCCAGAGTCAGTAGTTCAGTACTGTGAACAAGATAAATGGGAGGAGAAGGAAGGCGGATAGACGTTGAAAATTTTAAACAGAAGAAAAAAACTGGGAACTAAGATAACCGAACGAACACCGAATGGCCACCGATTGATACCAAAGACACTAACGGTTACCGAATAAACACTCAAAAGGACAACAAAAGTTAAAAGGTGGAATAGATATAAATATTGGGTAAAAATATAAAATAAATTAATCGTTAAAGATTACCTGACACTAAAAGATGAATGAATAAAGAACGTGTAAGAGATTTTTCAAAAAAAAGTAAAGTATATAATAAGTTATACAAGTAAACAAGTGAAAAAATCTTGTGAGTGAAAACCAAGCAAGACTGAGGATTAATATTATCCATCATTGATGTCAATCAAAATGATAAATGTCGGATATCCTTGATTGTTCTAAATCCCATTTATATATTTATTTATCTTACTTGAAACTCCATTTTTTCCGGTAATGCTTATTAATCACTAGCGATTGAAAGCATTTTGTGGTGTAAAATCTTAAATCTTAAATCTAAAAATTAGTTCGATTTTGATTGTATACATAGGTTAGATTTTGATTTATGGGCTTTACAGAATACCAGGCGAATATACTTCGAATAGAACTTGGGAAATCTTGTTTATATATATATATTTTTTAATTATTTATTTTCTCGTTTTCTTTTCGTTTTGCTGACATGCCTCAGTACTCGACAACTCATGACAAAAAAAAAAAATAATGGCAATTATTGCAGCCAAATGAACTAGTTATCAGTTATATAATGGCAACATGTCACAGTCGAGCTAGCATCAAACTGAGGACTAGGGAATAAAACGAAGACATAGAATGAAACAAAACGAATTTTTAAATGATATTATGCTTCGTCAAAAATTGGAATCAAAAAGTTATAATTAATATGGCAATCAAGGTTATTATGCTTCCATCCATCCATCCATCCATCCATC